ATCTTCTCCTGTCTTTGCAACAACTGAGCCCGACACCCCGTCTCCAGCACTGTTGAACGCCCAAAGTAAAATTCTGTACTCCGTTGCTTTTCTCAGCTGAGTCAAAACCACTGAGTAGGCTCTTTCCGTTATCACTGGGCCAGTTCTGTTACTGACGTTGGTATATGTCACGCGGTATCCTCTGATTAGGCCATTGCGGTGTTCCGTGGGGACTTCGAGCCATGACACCAAGAGACTTTGGGAATGGAAGGAAGTCACGCGGATGTTGGAGGGAGGTGCTGAGGGGGCTACAAAGAAATTTCGGAAATAATTAGTATCCAAACGACTGCAGGGGGAGTGGGGTGGTATTAATTGGAAGTTCGAAAGGAGATGTGCAGAGACCTTCAAGTTTTTAAACCTGTCTACACGTCTGCTATTGTTAATGGCACACATGCAGGATCGGGTATCGCTCCTGTCCGCTAGGGAAATATTAGGGAATGCCCACTCAGCCAATAAATGGAGGATATTACACCACGGAAAGAAGATATAAATTTTTATGTTCGAGTGGCAAGAACATAAAATTCGATTGAACGCGAAAAATAACAAATGAAATAATAATACCATAATGGTGATGATATCAACTGTGGATCACTTCAGAATAAGAAAGACCGTCAACCCGACTGATCACAGCCTTTGTGACCAGCTCCCAGTGGGATGTTAGCTCAGTTGGTAAAGCAATGCACCGGTATAGCACAGTTCATGGGTTCAAATTCCGTAAAAGCCTGATTTTTTTTGAGGCCATATTTTCACTACTGCACAAGAAGATTGCTTTCATATTCACGTCTTTATCCGCAGTTCACATATATGGTTTTCATATATTTACAGTCATTTTTTACCCTTTGTGAGAGTTAGGCACACTTACGCACGATATGATGAGTCCTGGGCTGGTTGATTAGCCACGATTTTAGTTTTAAAAGGTAATCTTTTTACCGGCTAGATCGACATTTCTGACCAACAAAACGATATAATATGTTTTCAGTAATTTTAACCTTACTTACCTCCTTCCCACGTTTGGGCGTAAACTGGCAGTGTGTAATTACCGTCTGTTATGCTAAAAGCTGCAATTTGCACCCCGTACGCAGTAAAGGGACTTAAGCCAGTTATAGTGACATGAATGTCCTTCCTGCCCACTGCAGCGACCTTAATTTGACTCGGATAAGCTCTGGTGAAGTGTAAGACTCGATAACCTTGAACAGCTTGCGCATCTAACCCAGAAATTGGACTCCAGGTTACCTGAATTGTGGTGGCGCTTGTACCCAGAGCCTTTACTTCCGTGGGAGTCTGTCGGGGAGCTGAAAGAGAGAAATATTTGAATACTTTGAAGATGGGTGCTTGGTGAATAAACGTTCAGGTACCCTGGTCTGCACCTCTAAGAAGATAGCTAGGCTCGATTTAGCCTCAAAGAGAAAGATTGGGGAAAAGAGGGGGGGAGAGGGAGGGGGGGGGGGGGGGGTCGCGAATAAAAAATTTCTCTAGCCTTAGTTGAAGATACTTACACTAATCCTCTTGCTTATGTCATCAACGGGCTGGTTATTGTGCTGCGAGAAGGGGCAGCCAAATGGAGTGTTTAGCACTGAAAATTCAGATTTATGCCATGTATACTCTTTGAGTTTGCGCGTTTTCGAAAAGCTGAATGATAGCATAATTTGTATGTTATCTACTTTGGAAAAAAAATTTTCTCACAATGTGGGAAAAGGTCCATTGGTATCCCAGGGTCCCCCTGGCTGCGTCCCAAGATTGGCCAAGCTGCTGTACGCTTTTGAAGCCTTAAGAAATGAACTTTCGGATTGTTATTGTGAAACTATTAATATATCTCGACCAAGCTCTATTCTTTGGTGAAGTACTCACGTAGCGAGATCTATTTCGTGCAATATGCTCCTTTCGGAGGCGGTGATGCTACGAAAAATGTTAATGGAGAGACGCCAGAAAATTTTTCCCTTTTTCATGATTTTCTTCCCCTTTTTCGGGAAAAGCTGTAATTGATGCTTACCTGGGTCATCGATTGAAACATTAATCAATGAACTCCAAGGACCAAATCCTTTCCTGGTGAAGGCTCGAACCTTCAGACTGTAGTTGGAATATTGGTAAAGTCCCGCGAAAGATGCGGAGAGATTACGGCTGAGTATTGTAGAATTTCGCAAATATTCTCCCTTGTCATCGTAAATCTTTACCAGGTAACCTCGGATTATGCCCTTCTGAAGTTCTTTCGACACTGGCAGCCAAGAAAGTTTGATGCTGTTGGTGCCAGTCGGACTTCCGGTCACGTTGTTAGGAGGGCCTTGAGGCACTGAAATTTTTCAAAGCATACGCAGTAATTTATGGTAATGAATAAGGTTCACTCAGGGGTGCAGTTTTAAAGTTCTGACTGGTTCAGCCACCGTGCAATATGAAGCACTTTAATCATGGCTAAACATAAAAATTTAGTCATTCAGAATTACTTCTAGTATTTTTGTTGTGTCTTCTTTTCAAATATACTGTTAGCGATGACCATCGATATTTGTGTTGTCGCTAAGTTATCAGTAACTATATTTTCGCTCACTGGATGTCGGTGGCTAATCATTCAGTCAGTTATTTATTAGGTTTGTCTGTTCATCGGTCAATAATTCAACGAGTCTCCATCAATCAAGAGTCAAAGGGCCAGTCAGTTCGGTAACTGGTCGTCTCGCCTACGGGTCTTTTCGCCTACTGTCTATCGATCTGTTCGCCTACGTTCAATATGTCAGTTCGGGAACCTCGCGGAAAAACTTAGTATTAAGATCAAATTAATCACCGCTTATGGTCTTTGTGTTTACTTTTGACTCGTTAATCAATAGGCAGGAGCTTTAAGAACTGCGACAACATGAAAATAAAATTAGGTTGGAATATGCTTGACTCACTATACGATGAGCCGTTTGCCCCCACTCCACGTTCATACAGGGCTCAGTTTAAAAATGTGTCGTCAAACAAAAAACCCAATAAACACAAGGGCTTTTCAGAATAACTGATAACACCATAAAAAGAAGGCAATGAGAACATAAGCGAAAACAAGTTGGATGTGTGAAGCGTAGGAAAAGGCGGGTGATTACGATGTAGTTGGTTTTATTTTTTTATTTGATTAGTTGAGGGCGTGAGGACAACACGTAGCGTAGGGAATGGTAATGATGTTTCAACAGCTGGGTTAAAGTTTTGAAGACTTTTGTTAACAAGAAACGGACCATAACATCGATATGCATAATTTCCATACTATTCTCTACACATTTTGACAATCAAGAACCTCTTTAGTTGGTGATCATTTCCCTGATTCTCGTGACCCCAGTGAGCGATTCAGAGGTGATATTGTAAGAGGAAAATAGCAGCTTGTCACTCTAAGGGATCTAAGGGTCTGAGAGGATAGTACTCATCAAAGCTTTAAACTGGGAAGTTGAATGCATAATGGTAAAGAATAGATAAGTAATAAAATAAATGACAATAATGACAATAATTCGATTGGTGTCACTGTACCGGCAAGAGACAGCTACTGCACATTTTCATCATAGTTAATCATACCTCCTTCGTCCGTAGAGACATTGAAAACAGCGCTATATGGTCCTTTTTTGATAGTAAAAAAGGCTGCTTGCATAGAATACATGGTGTACTCTTCCAAATCCTCCAGCGTTACCCTGACACTATAAGTAGTGTTGGAGACTTCTCTTCGTTTTCTCTTTGTGTGAATGGGAAAGAACTCTGTCTGCACGGTAGAATTTACTGCATTGGCTTTAAAAATCTTTAAGACGTAATGACGGATGATTCCGTTGTGTTGCTCAGCAGAGTAGATTTGGAACTCGACTGCAATTGACGTAGAACTTATGTTGTACCCGGTCACGTTTGCCGGTGGGATGTCTGGGGCTTGAAATTTAAAGATAAAGAAGTCAAAAAATTCAAATTTGTTCTTGTTTTTGGACATTTAAGATTAATGCAATACTTCTGGCGTCAGAGGAAGATTATGGTTTGTAAAACTGATAACATCTTGCTCCCCACTGTTTTTTACGTTATTTCTAACGCTAGAGAGCTCAGCCTCCTATCTTCATGGTGGTCATTGTTCTTTTTGTGTTAGGAGGGAATTTTTTTTTCTCTTCGGATTAGTCACCAAGTGCGTGTCGTTCCTTAAAGTAGGTACTGAATAATGAAGCATTCTTACCATCTTCGCTCGTGCGACATGTTATCGCATTCGTGAAATTTGATTGGCCTTTACTGTTAACTGCAGCTCCTTGGATGTTGTATTCTTGAAACTTGGACAAATTTCTTACTTCACCGCTCAAGCTTGATCCATCAAATTCTATCATTCTCAGGTAACCTGTTAACAAGTTCCTTATTTTGAATACATATTTGTTGATTATTTCAAGACATAAAGTTTCGGAGACTGGTTTCCAACTGATTTTTATACTTGTAGAGCTTGTGTTTTGAGCTGAAATGTTAACAGGGCCACCAAGTGGAACTGAAAGAAAAAAAAACGGTGAAAGAAATAAATAAACAAGTTTTTTTTTTAATAATTAGATTCCGACTGAACGAACAGGCCGAGTGAGGTAAGGAAGAAATGGATAAGCAGTAGAGAAAAGAAGAAAAGAAGGAACGAAGAAACAAAGAAAATTAGGAACGAAGGGACGAAGGGACGAAGGGACGAAGGGACGAAGGGACGAAGGGACGAAGGGACGAGGGGACGAGGGGACGAGGGGGCGAGGGGACGAGGGGACGAGGGGACGAAGGAACGAAGGAACGAAGGAACGAAGTAAGAAAGGAACGAAGAAACGAAGAACGAAGAAAAGAACGAACGAAGGAACGAAGAAACGAAAAAAAATGATATGCAATAAAACAGCCAAAGGGCGACAAAGCAAACAAGTGAATAAACCAGCACATAATCAATGGCACAAATAGACTGAACAAAACAAGGAAGATAAAATAGCAACACACGTGTCACTTGAACCGATATGCAAAACGATGAAATATTTACTCACCGTCCTCATCCGTAAAGCACCTTACAATTTTGCTAAAATTTCCGGGCCCATTTGTGTTGAAGGTAGTCACCCTGATGTCGTATTCCATAAATTTCTTCAATGGTTTTAAAGTGGCATTCAAGATACTTTTGCATGTCTGAAAGATGCTCCACAGCTTAGATGCACCGCCGCGAGGCCTGAAATGTAACTCGTAACCAATAATTTCGAGGCTGTTGCCTTCGACAGACGGTGGCTCCCACTTTACCTTGATAGAAGTGGAACTGGTATTGCAGCATACCACATTGGTCGGTGGAAAGCGTATCACTAGAAGAAAAGTTATGAAAGGGAATGTATAGATACCAAAGCCCAATTTTTCAAAAGGCAGATTACGCTATCTATAAATAATTTTTCAACAAATTAGCATCGGATATAGATTAAACAAGGGGATGACATTAGCTTCAGTCACCTTCGCACCAGTGGGGCCTCATCGTCAAGGAATTCAATTCTAGAGGTTTTAGAAGGTCAGCCAAAAGCTTGAATGTCCTATTTTACCATGACTGATACATGTTCTTTCACAACTGCGCTTCTCCGTTACTTTTCAATTTTTTCTAAGGAGCTCCTTGTTTTTTAAATTCATTTTATCATAACACCGTTGTATACCAAAACTTCCCTGACTAAGGACATAGTTGTTATCGGCTGATGAGCTTAGTTTCCACCTTTATCAAAGTAAACCCTAGGGGATCCTCCCTTTGACATTCTGTACAAGTAGGGATTTCATGAGTTGAAGCGCAAGAGAGGTTTCGGGAGTCAATTTTTTATGATTTCAAACAGCCTTTGATATTCGCCTGCGCATTATTTAGGGGAAAGATCATTTAAAAAGGGATGCAGTGCGCCCATCAATGTTTGTGAAAGGCATTTGGAAGAGAAGAGAATGAATCTCTCGGGATGGGAGGGGAGGGGGTGACAGGATCTTATTTTCCATCAAAGAAATATCGTTTGTTGGTCGGGAGAGGGGAAGAGAACGAACCTGACTATCTACCATCGCATGATTGACACGAGTTCGAGGGATGATTGTTAGCTATACTTACGCAAGCGGAAACAAAATTTAGCAATGTTTTGTAATTCATGGCTTTAACATTCTAATTCGTAGCGCAAAGAGCTAATTCGAGCTGTCCATATGATCAGTTCAGGTTTACTTACGCCCCTCTGTCGTGAAGTATTTAACGTCACTCGCATTCCCCATATCTGTTCGTAAGATGCGTTGCACATAAAACTTATACTTCATTGACGATTCAAGATTACAGATCTCCACCCAATGTGTCGATGCATTTACTGTCTTGTTCAAAGAAAACTTTGGGTGCCTGAACAAGGCATAGAACACACGATAGCCATCAAATGCAGCAAATTTCTCAGGTGAAAGGCCGCCCCACTGAACGTGAACACAATTTGACTTCCCTAGTTCTACTGATACATTTTCAGGCGGATCGTCTGTGAAGTAAGAATTTTGAATTAAAAAAAAGTAATAACTACATGTATATATTGGGATGTGTCGTTTTTTAAGTCGGGCAGGGCAAATTTTTTCGTTCATTGAAAGAGCACCCTGAACACGAAACATTCAGACCATTCATGCTGAGGGAATCGAAATATAACAACCAAGGGTGATTATGGGCCATCTTTGAAGATCGTATATATATATATATATATATATATATAACAGTAGACAATAACGACAGATTCCCCTTTTTAACCCTTTACACCGTAGTATTAATTTTCATATTCTCCACACTGTTCTACTTACATTTCCTATGGTTTTGACAGGGAAAATTTGTTTGACACTCAGGAGCTTCTTTTAAAATTTGTGATCATTTCCCTTATTCCTTATATTTGATTCTAAGGTGATATTGAAAGGAGAAATTTGAAGTCAGTCACTCTCAGTGGCTAAACGGTTAAAGGAAATCTACATAGCGAAACAAATGATTTAAGATTTTGGGAAAGGATAATTTGATTAATAGCGGAGCTCAAACGCGCACAGCGAAGCCCCAAACTTATTACTCTACCTAAAGTGGTGGTTACAGAGAGACTCTCGCTTTCCCTCCCAACTCCACTCTGTGTGTATCCAGCCACACTTAGGTTATACGTTACCAATGGTTCTAGTCCTTCTATGGTAACGAAGTTAACGAGGTCATTTACGATGGTAACTATGACGTCTGCACTTCCCGCTGGTCTGATGAAAACCTTATAGCCCTGGAATATGGCGGAAATACTC